AACAGAGGCTGATTTAACAGGTAAATCAGATATTAGTCAAGTGAAGACTCAACGAGGCCAAGTATACTTGCACAAGGGTTAGCTTCTGAGAGAGACAAGTGGTAGAACAATTCCCACAATCACATGGCATACCATGGACTAATTAAACTCAAACTCACAAACCTGCCCTGAAACAATGTACACTTAAAGTTACCTACTACATCATTATAATTACATATAATTGGAAACAACCAAAATGCCCACCAATAGAGGACTGGTTAAATAAGTTATAGTACATATTTTCAATGCACTTGCAAAAAAGAAGAGGAAGCTCTCTATGAACTGAAATGGAAAGATGTCTAATTGCTACATGGAAAAAGCACGGGGCACATGAGTGCATAATTGCTTGCATACGCACAAAGACACTCTAGAAGGAAACAGCAGAAACTAATAGATGTGGTTATCTGATTTAAAGGACAGATGGGGAGTGGGAACTTGGTAGGCAGGGGGACTGATACTTCTCTCTGTATACCTTTTAATAGTGTTTTAATTCTGAATCATGTGAATGTACTATTAATTCAAAATTAAATTAAAAATTGAGTCCACTCACCACACTCCCATGTAACAAATAATTCAATTCAATCATATATGCATTTAATGTTATTCATTTGAATTTCATTTGTTTTAAAGCTTTGCTTACACTTATACCTAAGTTTGAGTTTAGAGTTGTGTAATAACAGTAAGCATGAAGAATTTAATGTTTATATATATTTAGTACTACCATAATGGAAAATTTAACAGAGGATCTATAAATATTTCCCTTTAAAAGAGACCTATATACTACACAAATTCAAGAAACCCTGATATATCCAAGAGAAATCACACTGTTAGTTGTTTTATAACCATATTCCAACTCACCCCTAAAAAATAGATACATTTCTGACACTTCTTTTCTACTCCATTGATAGATTTATGATTTAACCCTAAAACAGATGGTTCCAATAATATCATAATTTTAAGCAAAATCTTTTTGTAATGTTTTGAATTCCAGCAAGGTGAATTTTTTCACGAAATTTAATAAGGGAAGTATTCTTTTTTAGCAAAAGCAAAACTCCTTAACAAATGTTTTAAAAACAGGCACTTTCTACTGATTTGGTTATGTTTTCCTATTCACATTCCTGTTCACTTATTCAATAAACACTAGTTGGATAACTACTATGAGCCAAGCACTGTGCTAGGCACCCACTAGGGTGGACATATTCAAAAAGTCAGACAGCACCAACTGTTGGTGGGAAAGTAAAAGGATACGGCTACTTTGCAGAACAGTCTGGCAGTTCCTCTAACACTTAAACACAGAGTTACCATATGACTCAGCCAATTCTATCCCTAGATATATAACCAAGACAAATGAAAACATATATCCACACAAAAACTTGTACACAAATGTTTATAACAGCACTGTTTATAATAGCCAAAAGATGGAAACAACCCAAATGTCCATCAACTGATGAATGGATAAATGAAATATGATATATCCGCACAACAGAATATTTGGCCATAAAAGGGAACAAGGTACTGATACACACGATATACACGATGACTCTTGAAAACATGCTAAATGAAAGAAGCCAGTCACAAAAGACCACATATTATATGATTCCACGCATATAAATGCCCAGAATAGGAAAATGCGTAGAGATAGGAAGTAGTATTAAGACTGGGGGGAGGTTGAGTAGGGGACACTAAATAGGGTAGTGATAGCTAAAGGGTATAGGATTTCTTTTTTTTTTTTTTTTTTTTTTTTTTTTAATTTCTTATAGGGATGGGCTCTCACTATGTTGCCCAGGCTGGTCTTGAACTCCTGGGCTCAAGTGATCCTCCCACCTTGGCCTCCCAAAATGCTGAGATTACAGATCTGAGCCACATGCCTGGCCCAGGGTTTCTTTTTGAGATGATAAAAATTTTCTAAAATTGAGTACAGTGGCAGCTGTACTTATTTGTGAATATACTAAAAACCACTGAATTGTACAATTTGAATTGATGAATTATATAGTATGTGAATTATATCTCAGTATGGTAGTCCCCCCTTTTCTGTGGTTCACTTTCCAGTTTCAGTTATCCATGGTATGAAAATAGGTGAGTACAGTACAGTAAGATATCTTGAGACCACAATCATTCACATTAACTTTTATTACAGCATATGGTTATAATTAGTCCATTTTATTTCTAGTTATTGTTAATCTCTTACTGTGCCTTAATTTATAAATTAAACTTTATCATAGTATATATGTATGTATAGGAAAAAACAGTATATATAGGGTTTAGTACTATCCATGGTTTCAGGCATCCACTGGGGGTTTTAGAACATATCCTCCCACAGATAAGGGGGAACGAATGTAAAGCTATTATTTAAAAAAAAAAAAAAAAAATACTGGTCACAGCTAGCAGAGGGTGAAGCTGGAATTCAAACCTGGGTCTAACTGCAAAGTCCATGTTGCTTCTACCACCCCCGTACTGCCAAAGGGCCAAGACTGAAATCCACATCTCTGATTCCTTCTACTGTATAAATTTCAAATTACTGACATCTGATTGCAACTCAGTAGAAAGTGAGCCAAGTTATGATCTTTACAATAAAAATCCAAAATTGGTTATTTCAAATGAAGTGACTGTACCTGAATTAAAACCGCAGAATGTGTTAAAGCATCATTCAACATCGTGAGCACATTTGATGTAGGAACTACCCCAGGATCATGACCCCAAGATGTTATTAGTAATCGATCATAACCCTATTGAAAAGAAAATGAATAATCCATAAAATGATGTTTAGAAATAAAGAAAATGTTAAGACAGTTATCTACAAATATGCTCACAAATTTCTACCCTCCTCAAAAAAACAACCCAAAACCTCACACACATACCTGGAATATATCTGGCAATTTTCGAAGTCTTGTACCTTTGGACAGTAAAAGAGATGGTGGTCCTTGTCCAGTAATATGATAAACATACAGTTTAAACCAGACAGAACTGACTTCTGGGATAGCTGGTCCAATATGCTACAATCATAAAACAGACAAGATAAAGTTGTAATATTCATCTAAAGAAGCCAAATTTCACAAGTGACCAAGTATAGTCTTATAAACAGCAAATGCCTCATGTAAATGTTAATTGCAATTATCCTTACAAAAATAAATTTTAGATGCTTCATTAAAATAGCTTCAATTTAATACTGGAATTAAGAAAGTATGTTTTATCACTGCAATTAAGAGAGTGAACTCTGGAATAAACTGACTGCCCAGTTTTAAATCTTGATTTCAGCCCTTAAGCCATATCACCTTCAGAAGGTCACTTAAGCTCTCTGTGCCTCATTTTGCTCAATCTATAAAATAGCAGTAACATATCTACCTCATGAGGATGCTGTAAGGTGGTTCAAAAGGCTTAAAACAGTACCTGGAATATAACAAACTCTATATTAAAGTGTTGGCTATTACTATCATTAATCACATACAAATTTTCACAAAAGGTACTATCTACCCTTCCATCCATTTAGCATTCATCCAGACAGTTCATGGAGTCCTACTATACCCAAAGATTCTGTTAAAGAAGTGAGGGGGCCCACAAAGAATTATAAAAAAAGGTTGGTTAAATGCACATCTCCTGCTGAATGCAGAGGACAAAATTTGGGGTGGGGACACGGTCCTCACTGAGGCAGCTGGAAAAACACAGGCAACAAAATCAACTTTATACAAGAATCCCTTCCTTTCTTCCACACCATTAAACCCTGCACATCTAGGAAACTAGGTACGATGCAGCACTGAAGAAGAGCAACATAACCCCCACTCTTTGAAAATGGTACAGACAACTTCCTTGTTAAATATAAAAAAAAGGCAACTGATTTTTAAGAAGTAAAAAAAACTAAAGTAATTTTTACATATAAATTCTACAGTTAACTAGAGTTTCAGCTTTCAAGCACCATTTTTTCTTTTTAGTTTAGTTAGCATCACAGCCCCATTTCTAGAAACATTTCATTTTTCCTTATTAAATTTATCTTATCCCTCAAAATGATATAGGCTTCTTTCTGAAAGCATCCCAAAACATTCTCTTTAAGTTATTCTGTACATGAATAAAATTTTACTCTAACATGTCACAAGTCACTAAATGATACATAAATCATAAAAAAATATGCCAATTATACTTCGCAAATTGAACATAACATCTTACAATGGCATAAAATACAAAACTGCTTTTTCTGAGTCAGTGCTTTTAATATTTGGTATCTGCAAGTGAAGAATTAAGAAAATAAAACTGAGGGTAGTCATGATGGCACAACCAAGTGCATCTTCCCAGTGGGTCTTTACCTGAGGGGTACAGCTGCTGACCGGCCGGATTTCATTGGTGAGGGGAGCCATGGAAACAAGCAGCGTGTAATTTTTGTTCAGAACTCTGCTGCAAGTTGCTGGGTCCAAACCAAGAAGGCTTTCACAGCGTAAGAGATCCAGAGGAAAACCTGAGTTATGATCAAGCACATACAGAGAATCAAGAACTGACACTGTGAAACAAAAAAGTTGAACATGATACATTAACTGCCTTGAGATTGTAAATTTTCCTTAAAAGGCAGAGTAACTCTATCAAGGAGACCAAATTTCCTAGGAGACCACAAAGACATTTTGAGATTTAAAGATGAAATTTTTTATTCTTTGGTCTAGAAAGATAGTTGCCTATGGATATTTCTTCAGGCTGCCTTTTACTTTAACTAAATATGCTTATTTTACTTTACTTCTTCCCTCCATGCCCAGGTACTCCACGACAGCTGCATACAGTTGACCCTTGATTAGGGTTAGGGTGCTGATCCCCTGAGCAGTCAAAAAATCTGCACATAACTTTCAACTCCCCCAAAACTTAACTATTAATAGCCTACTGTTGACTGGAAGCCTTACTGATAACACATATAGTCGATCAACATATATTTTGTATGTTATATGTATTATATACTATATTCTTACAATAAAGTAGGCTAGAGAAAAGAAAATGTTACTAAGAAAATCATAAGGAAGAGAAAATATTTACTATTCATTAAGTGGAAGTAGATTATCATAAATGTCTTTATTCTCATCATCTTCATAAAGTGTAGGCTGAGGACGAGGAGGGGTTGGTCTTGCTGTCTCAGGGTGGCAGAGGAGGAAGGGGTGGAGGTGGAAGAGGAGGCAGGAGAGACAGAAACACTTGGTGTAACTTCATGGAAATACAATGTAACTTCTGTGTTTTTTTTTTCACTTCTCTAAAAATGTTTCTATACGATACCAATCCTTCCAACATTTGCTTTAGTTTCAGTGTTATCATAGAAGGGTTTATAGAAGTCAAAAGTAGTCTTCAATAATCAGAACCCTCCCGCCGGACTGTTTAATGTCAATTTGTTTCCTGGCACTGCTTCTTCTATAATACATCTTAATACATCTTCTTCCTCGTTGTCTGGCATTGGTTCAGAAACACCCATCTCCCATCAAGTCATCTTCTATTAATTCCTCTGGTGTGGTGTCTATCAGCTCTTGAATTTCTCCAAGATATATTGAAACCCTTGACCACCCCCTACCCCCAATACCAATTCTGTCACATCCACAATCTCTTCATGATTTCTTTGATTGGCTGTCATAAACCCTGTGAAGTCATATACAACATCCGGACACGTTTTTCTCTAGTAGAAATTTATTGTTTCAGGCTTGATGGCTTTCACAGCTTTCTCCAAAACAACAATAGCATCTTCAATGGTGGAATCCTCCCAGACTTTTCATGATGTTCTATCAGGGTTCTCTTCCGCAGTGTTGACAATCCTTTCCATAGAGTACCATGTGTAATGAGTCTTAAAGGTCCTTATAACCCCCTGATCTAGAGGATAATATAGAGATGTCGTGTTTGGGGGCAAGTAGACCACTTTGATGCCTTCAGTGTAGAACTCACAGGGTTCTGGGTGACCAGAGGCATTATCCAATATCAAAAGAACTTTAAAAGGCAATGACTTACTGGCAAGGTACTTCCTGAGTTAAGGAACAAAGTAACAATGGAACTAATCTTTTTTAAAAAAGAGTTCTCCTTGTCCAGGCCTCCTTGTTGCACAACCAGACTGGCAGCTGGTATTTATCTTTTCCCTTCAAGGCTCAGGGATTAGCAGCTTTATAGATAAGGTCAGTCCCGACCATAAACCAGACTGCATTTGCACAAAACAGTAGAGTAAGCCTATCCCTTCCTGCCTTAAATACTGGTGCTTACTTCTTTGCCTTACTAATAAATGTCCCTTGCAGCATTTTTTTCCACAATAGAGTACTCTCATCTGCATTAAAAATCTGTTTAGGCAGATATCCATTCCCCCCAATGATATTCTTAATGGTGTCCGGGAACTTGTTTGCTGCCTCTTGGTCAGCAAAAGCTGCTTCTCTCGTTATCTTTACATTTTTTAAGCCAAACCTCCTTCTAAAATTATCAAACCATCCTTTGCTGGTATTAAATTCTCCAGCTTTAGATCTTGGACCTTCTGTCTGCTTTAAGCTGTCATTTGACTTTGCTTTTTCTCAAATCACATTAGAGTCTACAGGTATATCTTTCTTATAGTAATCCTGTGCCCACATAAAACGTACATTATCAATATGAGATTAAAAAGGTATTTCACAATAAGTACAAGCTTTTCATGCCTTCTGGCATAGATGTAGCAATGGCTTCACAAATTCCTTTTCTTTATTCACAATGGTCCTTATGATGGACTTATAAAGTATTGCACTAAACATGCTGGAAAATATGAAAACTGCAAGAGATCACTTCTTACTGCAATATGCGATTTACCAGACAAACTGCTCACATGGAGATGATTAGCATCACGCAGCAGTTTAAGCAAATACTCACAACTTTGAGTTCACTGCAATGGCAACAGGAGGTGGCTACCAAAATATTGCAGTCATACATATGTACTATAGTTAATTTTCTGCAGTTATGATTTAATACTGCATCTTTATGTTTATCTCTCAACTTTGAATGGCACCATGTATGGTCTGTAAGTATGCACAAAGTTTTGATACATGTTAACTTTTTATAATAGATTTATATATATTTTATGGTAATAAATGATAAAATAGACTAGTATCTACATATGCTTTATGCATTCATGACATACCTAACTTTTCCTTAATTTTTCAATATTTCTAGGTTACACGGTTTGTCTGTGAGTTTTTTCAAATTGTTGCAAGTCTCCAAGAACTTTTTCAGTATATTTAATGGAAAAAATCCACATATAAGTGCAGTTTAAACCCATGTTGTTCACAGGGCAGCTGTATTATGAAAGCCTGAGTGCCAGGAGAATCTATGTTCTTCTCCCTGTCCCCTCACCATTTCTAATCTATACAAAGAGAGTAATAGCTCTGTTCTCATTTTAGCATAGGGGCAGGGCAATAGTTTCTGATTTAGAAAAATGTGCCCTAGGCTGCTGGTCCATAAGGCATGAACTCACTCAGCATGCAACAGATTTTAAGCATTCCTATTCTTAATCCTTTTGGAAAATACCAAATGCTATTGCTCTCTAAAAAAGAGATATATCTAAGTTTGAAAGAAACTTCGGATCAGGTTAGCCATCTCCCCCTTCAAGTAAGAATGCATCTAAAAAAAATATGACCTGCTGAAAATGCCTAGAAACATGGAGCACAACTAGTGCCAGCCTCTTGGTCTCTAATACCATTGCCCAATAAAAGAAACCAGGCTCCTAGGAGATAGGAGCCAGCTTGAAGGGAATCCTGCTGGCAAAATCTGAGACAAATAGAGCACAAAAATAATTAAGAGATAGTAATGACTAATTACAGACCATTGAAAAAATAGGAATTCATAAATCCATATTGAGAAAACAAGAGCATGCCTAGTCTCAACTGTTAAATATGGAGGAAGTGCTGGAGTTGGAACAAAATTACCAATTTGCAACCATCATAGTAAAAAACAGCTCAGGCAAGAACCATCAATGGATGCCAAATGTAGCAGGAAACACTGATGAAGGGTAGGATATTTGCATGGTCTTGAAGTAACTCCTGACAGATTGCTTATTAGTTGTGGGGGGAAAATGGTTGACTATACAGTGGAAAAACTGGACAACGCATTAACGGAGTGATCAAAATTGACATCACCAAGGAAGAGCAGATGGAAATCATGAATCTCCAGATGTCAAACCCTTAGGAGAACACAACATTTACGTGATTTTCTAGACATGAATGCAGGACTTGATCTAATCATGAAGAGACAGCACATACACCCAAGATGAGAAACTTTCTACTAAAATCTACAAAAGAGGGACTGGATTCTTAAAAAATAAGAACATCATAAAAGACAAAAAACACTATTCATTTGTTCCAGAATAAAGGAAATAAAAGAGACATGACAATTAAAAATAATACTTGAACCTAAACTAGATTCTGCACTTGAAAAGAAAAAATGCTATTAAAGACATTGGGTAAATTCACAAAATAGAATATTAACTGTAGATTACTGTATTAATAGTAAATCTTATGAAGTTGCTGTAAGAGAACAGTTCTATTCTTAAGAAATACACACTGAATAATTTAGAGGGGAAAGGCCATTATATCCAACTTACACCCAAATTCTGGGTTAAAAGTAACTATACCATTCTTATCCTTGAAATTTTTCTGTAAATTTAAAACATTTACAAATAAAATGCTAAAAAATCAGGAGTCTATAGTTTAATGAAGAGAGTCCTATAGATGTTCCAGCTAGAAAACAAGGTGGAGGCAGGAAAGTGAAGCCTCCGAAGAAGTGGCTTCTACCAAGTGACATGTTTGGCTGTCTGTGTTCTAGCCAGTAACATGTCTGGCTGGAACAGAGGACATATCCTGAAGTAAAATGAGAGAAGTCAGCAGGTGGCTTCGGAAAGGGAAACAAGGGGGAAAAGTTCTAAAAAGACTAAAGAAATCTATGTTTGATTAAGTACACTGAGAAATTATACAACAGCCATGAGTGGGAAAATGCTGTCCAATAAAAACATCTGAATGTAGTAAGGAGAGACTTCATTCAAGAGGATTGAGGAGTAGGGGCCCACCGTAATACGGGGAGAGAGACTACTGCAATCATGATCATAAAGTTCCAGGGAGTCTTAAGAGTTAGACAACAAGGGTTTTTCTTTTGTAAGAAAGGAGTAGACAAAGCAGAAAGAATAGGGTGTGAGGAAGTGGGATGAAAGGGGACAGTACAAGACAGCAGATCAGAGAATATTCCACCACAAGGTCAGCATATTTTCTGGGAGGGGCCCTAAAGCAGGGGCTCGGGTTGAGGATGGGTCAAAGTTCAGGGGCTTGGAGGAAGGAGAGAAACTTAACCAAAGTTTGGCTAACAAGCATTTTGTTCTGATTGATCAGTTGGGACAGGCAGTTTTGGTCTATTGTTTATGAGACAAAGGGAATTTGGAGGATCTGTTTCTGGCCTTGTCATAGGCGAACAAGGTGGGGGGCACCTGTGAATCTTATCTGAGTTACATGGGCTAAGAGTGGGTCCTTGCAATAAGCCCTTCTCCAAAACACAAAAGGGTGAGGGGATTTCTTAACCTTTGGGCAAAATTCAACATTGTTAACGTCCAGTACAGAGAATATTTAATGTGTACTAGAACAGGGAAGGCAGAAAGACTAAAGAGTTCATGGCAGTTAGAACATATTTTCTAATATTTTTACAACGGTAATTGCTTTACTACAAATGTGGTTTAATTTCTAAACATTTCTACAGTACTAGGCTGACAAATTACAGTAGTTTTTATGTCTGACTGGTATTGATCATAGTGGGAAGACGTCTTTTTAAAAGATACTAGAAAAAAAATCATGCTTATAAAATGAGAAAAAATTAGACCACACATTGTTTTTATTTTTTAAGCAGTGCTTCGTGCAATTTAAAACCAAGAGATTACTAAGAAATTAGTCCTTTTCACATATAACAGAGTCTGCTTCTATGACAATATCACAAAGCTTTTACTTTACAGTAAATACTAAGTACTACATGATATACTCAAACTACAAATTATTAGTGACACACAAAAAAAATTCTTTTTACTTAAACAAGATGCTTAAAACACCAATACTACAGAACCTCTTTTCTAAAAAAGAGTTAAGGTTCAGTTATCAAGTCCACCACCTACAGAAAACAACATTTCTCAACAGGGTGAGCATGAAGACTCAATGCCCTAGGAATCTGCTATATGGAATGAATGACCTTTTCTGTACATCTGAAATGGTACTAGTGATGCACCATCATCAGAAAAACTGAGACAGTAACTCCAATCATTTTCTGTGTTCTGTGATTCAGATGAGGAGCTCAACTAAGAAAGGCTGGTTGTAAGAATGAAACTTCATAAACAGTTGTAGGTTTGGTCTTATAGGGAAGAGTTAATTACAATTTAACTTTGGAGCCCCAGCAATTGTTCTAAGCAATTAAAGCTCCAACTGGTGCCAGGAATAGTCGACTATTAAACCTACCTTAAAGGTTACAATTACACTTCACTATTTTCATACAGAATAGATTTAGGTTTACCATTTAACTTACTTCATGGTACACAGACTATTCATGGTAAAAACAAAGTTTAGCCCAGACTGTGAAGCAACAAATTGTTGGTATGTCAATAAAAAACTTAGTGTTTGAGAGAAGATAACATTAATAAAAGGGACAAGGCAAGGGAACAAAATCCAAGAGACATGAATAGAATAGTCTTCTATTCCCAGCTCTTCCACTTACTCGTCACACGGGCTCTAATGACTAAAAAGGCAGGAAATTTAAACGGATAAGCTCCAATTTCTTTCTTTAAAAGGAGTTACACTTGACTGGTCACTACTCTCTAACATTCTCAGATTCTATGAAAGGCAGGAAAGGACAATGTATTTCAAGACAGCTATAGCAGAATATTTCAAACAGTCTAACCCATTATCTCCATAAATCACTAAAATGTACCAGAAATTCCAGGAGTTTTACATCCAACACATCTTGAAGACTGAGCCACTCACTGCTTGGTACATGATCTAATATTTGGTAGCAAAAAATGGTTACCCATCAACAAATGCTTATCAATAGGTGCTTTAGGCTTTTGGTATTTGGTGATTTAAAATTCTCAGTTTTAACTATTTATGAATAATCTCAAAAAGTGCCACAACATGTAACAATCTGTAACTCTGCTAAGGCACGCTAAATCTGCAGAAGTGAGTCACTACTGAATGAGTCTCGTCTCTCTCAGCTAAACTACTCAGGATCTTTGTTCTCACCTATGCCACAATTCCCGTGAAGTGATAGTTGATCCTTCCTTAATTTTTAAAATTGAGCTGAAAAGCAAGCCAGATGCTGGTGAGAGAAATAAAATAAAAATTAACATGACTAAGAAACTGATGGTTCTTGGCCAGAAAAATAGGGTTCTCAAGTAAATGAAAGAATGAAACGAAATGTTATAGTGGTAACAAGGACTCACGAAGTCTCAAGATGACACTCTTGTGAATGTCTAAGGACTTGAGTTAAATGCTCTTCCAGAGATGCCCAAGCCCACCTGAACATTAGAATCATCTTTTTTTAAAAGACACATTTCTGGGTGCCATTCCACATCTCAAGATCCATTGAATCAGAATCTCTGGGTAGAAATTCTGATACCGTCAGTTCGATCAAAGTGTGGGAGCCCCCAGTTATCACAAAACTGAGACTGCCTACTAGGGCAACAGCCACATTAGAGTCCATCAATACCTTAACATTGTCACTACTTCTTTCTTTTTAAAAAGAGATTATCTGTTCCCTTTTTTTAAAGTAAAATGCTTTGGTAATTATTACAGTAGATTTGAACAGGAAGTTCCTGTTTATTATTTCGTTCAATGGAACCTTTCATTCTTGAAATTTTATGCTTCCAATAGTAACTCAATTTTGGCATTTGTTCACCCCTCAGAGCTAACACTTGTTCTAAATTCCATCCAGTTACTTAAATAAATTAACACTCCAACACCTTCTCTGGGTACTAAGAGATTTAAATACTATGAATGTCAATGCCACATGAGAAGAGAAAAAGTAAGTTGACAAGCAAAGAAATTCACAAAACAAGCCTCTAGTTATAAATCCAATATGCAGTCTACCCAAAATGTATTACATAAGTGATGATTACACAAGTGAGCATGATCTGTTTAATTTTATAGGAAAAAAGTTTCACACGATTATGTCTTCAAAATTAAATATATTTATCATACCATAATTGGGTTGGTCTGGCTGTGCAGTTTGCGCAACTAGATCTTTATTATGACGCAGAAACAATATTGTGTTTCTCAGAGTAAGTGCATGATCAAAATATCTCTGTGCTTCTCCTTCACCAGTGCTCTGAACCTAAACCAAGAGAAAATAGATTTTGCAACAAGCACCACTTTCATGACATTCACTCTAATAAATAATTATATAATAGAGATATTAAGACATTATTCAAAAGCAGTAAATTGAAAATTTGGCCAGGCAATACTGAAACAAATATTAATCTCAGTCTTGGTTGAGTTTGCAATTTTACAACATTTATGAAGATGACAGAAATTACTCCAAGTAAAACTAACAATTTTAGCAACCAAATAATACATTATACCATTATATAAGTTACATGTCCCATATATAATTCAAATACAGTGCTTAAAATACTCTAAAACCCATGTATTTTTTGATCTAGAAAAGTACTCCTATCCACAGTCACCAGTTATGCCTATAATTCTCATCACTTTGTGCAAATTTTTTTATCACTAGTTACAAGGGACTATGGAGTACGTGATTCAACATGACTGTTCACCACTGCTGAACATACAGCTTACATTCATTCAGCAGGGATTTGCTGAGTGGCTCAAATGTACTATGACCTCTCTAGGAGATAAAGATAGAGTCATGGACAAAACAGACAAAATTCCTGCCTTCACAGGCCTTATGGTCCTGTTTAATATGTAAAGACATATACATCCCAGAAACAGCACATAAATGGAATGATAAGTCTACCTAAATTAGATTTGCATTAAATTAACAAGACCAACCAATTAAGATTAATCAAGATCTGACTACTTAAAAAGTAGCTAAGAAACCATTTTTTAAACTAAACCTCAGACAAAAAGGCCTTTCCAGGAATGACTATGTGGTAAAAAAAATGTATATATATTAATAGATTTATAAATGAGAAGAGCAGCTGTGATACTGTAATTTGCTACATTTGATAAAAGACTACTTGAAGGCAAGAGAGATAAAAATTGGGAGACCAGAACTTAAAATGTGCAGGAACATAGAAAAAATTTATTGGCAAAAGACAACATACAGTAAGAAATGGGGTTAACAAAGTGATTTAAAAAGCACTGAAGAAATAACGGAAGTATGAAGACAAAAGTAAAAGAGGCCAATTAATAGCAAAGAATTATCTCATATATTTTCTACACTAATAAAAGTAAAAATCCTATGGAGAAAGAGCAGCGAAAAAATGTTATGGTCTTTTTTTAAAAGATATAAAAGAATTACAGAATCATAACAAGTTCTCTGAACAGCCCATTTACATATACAGAGAGAGAGTTCATCACTAAAGCACAAAAGGCACCAAAATTATTAGTCAAGGAACAGATCAGGCACACAAACTATTTGCATATAAAGAAAAGCGGAGGATGGAATAAAATATCCAAAGAATGAAAAATACCAATAAAGGGAAATCAAGATTTAGAGCTAAAGAAAACTAGGGCTGTACTCACAGGGGAAAAGGTGGTTTAGAGCAAATATGGCTGAAGTCTTCAAGATGTTAAAAGGGACAGTGAGAGCGAACATAAATATGATACCCAGGGACACTGTTCAGGTTTAAGATAACTGGAACAAAAAATTTCAAATAAAACTGCTTAAGAGATGATCTTAGAGAGTCATGCCAGAAAAAAATGAAAGGCTATTTTAGAAAAATTTCAATTTACAAAATTATAGACTGAGATTTCTAATCCCCATTTCTTCATTTTATCAAATTATGTTAAGAGTTAGATGAGGTAGACAAACCACTTTAAACCCACAAAATGCATTCCCCCACTCAATATGTGTCAGTCTAAATGACTGCCACATTATTAAGCTGGGGAATGAGGTAGGAATGAGCAAGAATACACCAAAAACCCAACACAACCAATAGACTGCAAGCAAGAAAAGGTTCCAAATGCCCTGTCATCCCTAACATGCAATCTACATTTACCTTTTCTAGTTCTATAAGAAAGCTGTCCAGAGACTCATCTGAGAGTTTGCCTACTTCAAACATTGTGACTGCATGACTCTTCAAGTTCTGCAAAAAAGAAACAAAATATTAAAGTTCTAGTTCCCTTTTTTTATGCTAAGCATAATATCTCATATTTATATTATGCTTTCCAATATATTTAAACTTAAGGGTGGGTGAGGGAGGGGGCTGATTCTTCCAATTACAAAAGTAACCTTCACTAAAAGTTTTTACACTCCTCTAAGGAATATAAAACAAAGTCAGTTGTGTTTTTAGGAATAAATCTACTACTTAAAAAGATATAAAAGCACTGAATTATTTTATATCTCATCTTTAAACACCTTCATATTTAAACAAGAATTTGACTTACTGGTGAAAGATTTCCCATCATTAAGAAGGCAGTAAGAGTTGAGTCAAATAGAAATGCGATACGCTTTGTGTATCCTGTAGATAGACTCAGACTGCTTATACTGGCAGTGTCAGCTGAAAAGAAACCATAATTTGAAATCAAGTAAATGCAAATTATTCTTTGCTTACTATTCTAAATGAGAAAGTATTTCATTCAGCTTTATTTGATAACCAAAAAGTATGTAAGAGGCTCCAGTTATACCCACCTCTAAGTAGAGAAAATTTTTAAAAAATGTTACACAGCACTTACTTTTATATTTCTTTAAAAGTAATAATAAAGATTTTAATAACTGTCACACTAACAAGATTAATTAACCTAACCTCTTCAGATAAGTCACCTGGCTCAGGTAATAGCCCACGTTGTGGTCCTTCCTGCTTCCAACATTAAACCACAGGCAATCCCCTCATCCATTATGATTTGCCTCCCTTTGGGCTTAGCCCACACTATTCTCTTGGGCTGACATGGCCTTCCTCCACTGACCACTGACAGGCTCTTATTCTTAGCCCAAATAACATCTTGTCTGTGAAGGCTTCCTAAATAAACCTCTCTAGCCAATAAAGGGTCTCTTCCTCTTTGTACAACTGGTTCTCACATTGTTATAGTTTTTTTGGTTACATTCCCTTTCCTTTCCCTAGACTTAATTCTTAGAAGACTATATTCTAGTCAATTTTATACCCTTAAGACTTAGCACAGTGCCCAAAGATTGCAAGCAGATTAAATAAAATCTGAAACAAAACTATAAAATAACTGTAAGAGTATATGTTAGGACATATGCTGTACCTATAGACAGACTCTAAATTAAACTGAGTTACTACTGCTAACCTGGATCTTCTTGACTATTTGTATCAGTGTCAGTAGCTGATGAAGCTTCTTGTACAGGACTCCTACTTTCCCCACCATCCCATGATAAGAGCATCTTCTGTGGATCCAAAGTACTCCTATTAATGAAGAATACATTCACTTTTTAAAAATCATATAAATGATCTGATATAAAAATACCTACTCAAGTCACTACTTACATTATGAACGATCCATCTAAATCCAGTCTTATATTCAAGCCCAAAACTGAGATGTAGCCCCAAAATGCTCTGCCCACATAGAGCAAGGGTTCTTAACTAAGATCCATGGGTAGGCTTAAGGGAATTCAAGAATCCTTCAAAATTTTATGTAAAATTGTGCTTTTTTCTGGGGAAAAGGTTCTTAGTTTTCATCAGATTTTAAAAAAGATCCATCACACATAAAAGATTAAAAACCACTAACATATAGGGTTCACCTCAAATAACAGATTAGAAAAATAAAATTTTTATATGTAAAATTAAATATTTCTTCAAAAGGAAACTCTAATATTTCATATGGAATAAATGAGTTACTTTAATCTGTTTACGGATGGAACATTCTTCCATGATGAATGAAGTTGATCCAAATTTATTACTTGTCCCTTCTTATGGGCAAAACCCAATCGGCAATACATTGAAACAGCATTCTGAAAGGAATACAAAGGAAATTAGCATTTAAAATAAACCAGACATCAAAATATTTGTAGAGAAAAAACAGACTAATCATGATTCTCAAACATTTTCATACCATAACTAGAAAAAACAATTTTCAGTAGGGCTGTTCCTCCCTTAAGGTCTTCACATATGTACAGGAAGGAATCTTCCAATTCTCTGGCCTTGCCCTCCGCCCTCCCTACCTCATTTTAAGATACCGATTAGGCTGCTTCCTGCCATACACAGAAGTGTGAGGGCTCTTTCAGTCCATGCAGCGGAATCCTGATTCAAGACCCCTTATCTTGCTCTTTCCTACCTTTGTAAGCAGCCCTTCATTGTGCACTTCCTCAGACAGCTAACAGGAATCTCAATGCCTATTTCTCAGCAGCTTATCAAGATAAAAATATGCTAGTAAAATCCATTCAGTATTCACACAAATAAAACGAGTACAAAATAATATACCTTAACCAGGGATAAGTCTATCTCAAGGACATTTGCAAGCTGGAAAATAAAATAAAAATTCATTTTTACATTCTCAGAATTACCAGTACCTTACACAGCTGTGACAGACAAATGTAATCATAGTAAGCAAAATTTTAAATTATGAATAATTGGAAGACTGAATAAATTTTGAATTCAGAACTTTTTTCTTTCCCTATCTCTAAGACATTTATAGTAGTACAAATCCAGATAGTGACTATAACAATTCAGGATTCCTTACTCTTTAATTTTTCTCATTTAAAAGAAAAAAATTCCTAAATAGACCAATATAGTTTAAAATACTTTAAAGAGTCACGTAAAAAGTTATTTAACCAAACTATAATTTAACTGAAAAAAATTTTAATATACATATGCAGGAATTAATTTAACGATAGTGACATTTAAGTATATTAATGGTCTATGATCTCCCCAGATACAGATTTTGAAAACATTTTAACCACATCATTAAATAATTCTACCTACTTTACGCAAATTTAAGTCTTGAGATTATATTCTTCCATAAGATGTTGCCACACTTACCTCTGCAACATTAGTGTACTCATCTATTGAAACAAATATCTTATAGAGTAGAGTTTCAAAATAATCACCTTGTACTCGATTCATTACAAAACCTTCAAGAGGAGGAACTGAAATAAACAAAATAGACTTTTCTCAGTGGTATGATTTTATAAAATAAGAAAGTATCATTTAAATATCTAAACAAAAAAAGAAACCTCTAACTTAGGGACTCAATGCAGCTTTTGATTTATTTTATCCACTCCATAGCAAGTTTTCTAAAACTCCCCAAGTTAAGGCCATGTACAACATTACCTACACAGAGAGGACTGTGAAGGTAGAGCACGAAATCCACAAAGAATAACTGAATTCACCATGGAACTCTCAGTTACTGAGGCAGAGGAAATGCTGGATGACACGGACTTGGCAGAAGGACAAGGGAATCGGGGCTGCTTCAGAACAGGGAAGGCTGCAGAGGGTTTCTGATATGTCGGTTTTTGATGGCTCATCCGGCAGCAGGAGTGACTGGGCCAAAGCAGAAAAGCAAAGCACTGCAAGATTGCTATGCTGCACAAAAACCAGGTGGATGGAAAGTACTGGCTCTCTCTCTGCCTTTCTCCCCATCACCCCCCCTCCACCTGGAGAAGAGGGGAAATTCATCTGCATGATTGTCATGGTTACCAGCAGTCACTGGTATAATCTGCTCTGTGGGGCTTTCTGTTCTGTATCCTCCTTGGTGGGCTCAGTGGCAAGACCTTCTTCAGCACAGCAGGCAGCCCAATCATCACTCTCCAGCTGAATACTCATTCATACTCATCTCTGTCTCTTTGGTCCAAATGCTCTAATCTGACACCACAGCGCTCTGCCCAGCCAATAATAAAGAGGCACTATGCTTTCTTCTGCCATTCTCCCTGGTGTGTACACTTCCCTTGAAAATATCCTGGGAAGGAGGAATGTCTTGGCCACAGTAGCATTTGGGTATCTCTGTGTCCCCTGGCCTAATACCAGCTAACTGTACCCAAAAACCTAAAGTATTTTTAAAGGTGAAAATCAAGACAAAATTCAAATGGTCAACATCAAGACATTGAAAAAAAACATGATGTATATTTCAGGATAGGTTATTCACTTTACAGATCTGGCTCATGTCCTTTTCTAATTTAGTGCCACCCATATTTCCAGTCATTCAGGCACTTTTAAGGATCAAGGTTTCTTTATAGAAATACTTTAGAAATCCCATATTTGATGTCATTAATTCTTTTCCTATACTATCATTTATATAAAATAGCAATAGCAAACATTTGTTGAACACTTACTAAGTGCTAAATTATTGCCAGGTACTTTATATATATAATTTCATTTAATTCTCTTAACCCGACAAGTTATACAGTAGCATTAATTACCCCTATTTTAGAGATAAAGAAACGAAAGCACTAAGAGGCTAGAAATTTTCCTAAGTCACAATTTATATCTGGAGCAAAAAGAATGAGGCAACTCCACATGAAAAGATATGGAATAGTCTCTAAAAAATATTTAGTTTTAAGAAAAAGCATGAACTAGAGTATACCATCTGGGTAAAAATTAAACTTAACAGTGGCTGCTGAGAGAAATCGGGCAGGTAGGCACAGGAGTGGGAGGGAGACATTTTTATGCCCCTTCTAAATTCAGAATTTTGTATCATAATTATTGCCTACCCAAACATACGTTAATAAAAATTTTTAAATTATGGAAAATGGTATGACGTTTTCTACAACATAGAACTACCATTATGACCCAGTAATCCCACTTCTGGGTATATACCCAAAGGAACTGAATCGATAGGTTGAAGAGATGTCTACACTCCCATATTCAATGCAGCATTATTTACACTAGTCAACATAAGGAAACAACCTAAGTGTCCAGCAACGAATGAATGGATAAAGAAAATGTGGTATGTATACACAATGGGATACTATTCAGCCACAAAAAGAGGGTAAATCCTGTCATTTGCAACAACATGGAAGATCCTGGAGGAAGTTATGCTAAGTGAATAAGCCAGGCACAGAAAGACAAACACTGTAGGATCTCACTTACATTTGGAATCTAATAAAGCTGAACTCATAGAAGTAGAGAGTACAACAATGGTTACCAGAGTCTGGGGTGGGGGGAGGAATGGGGAGTTGTTGATCAAAGGGGACAAAGTTTCAGACAGACAAGAGGAAAAGGTTTTGAGATTTACTGCACACCAGGTGGCTATAATGAATAATAACGAATTGTGTATTTCAAAATAACTGAGAGAGTAAATTTCAATCATTTCACCATAAAAAATGATAGGTAAGTAAGGTGATGGCTATGTTAATTAGCTTGATTTAATCACGTCATATTGTATCCATATATCAAAACATCACATTGTACTCCATAAATATATACAGCTATCATTTGTTAATTAAAAAAAACATGTGTGTGTGTGTGTGTGTGTGTGTGTGTGTGTGTGTGTGTGTGTGTGTATGTATAAATAAACATCTTAGAATAACCAAGAAAGTTATTTTAAAAAACTCATGAGGAAAGCCTGGCCATAACCAATATTTAATATTAAAAGTTATTCTAAGTCATTATAATCAAAACAATATAGTATCAGTGAAAGAAAAAAGGGTATCCAATAGAGGGGAATTTAATATATGATAAAAGTTATGCTGCCATTTAGCGGTAAAGAGTTACTGAAAAAACAATGCTAGCATTCATCCAAATGCTATTGGTTATCCAAAAAGAAAAAAAATTAAGTTGAACCCTTATTTCACACCACATATGAAAATAAGTTCCAAATGAACTACAAATTTAAATATATTTAACAAAAGTTTTCAAGAATTTTTAGACTATATATCCTAAAGGTGTTCTATTCAAGCATAGCAGAAATCTAGAAGCCGTAAAGGATAGACATAAAATATGCAATTAGAAAGTTTGATGAGTAATGAAATAAATATATTCAACAACAGAGCCTTTCATGATTATTCCCTTCAAAGTATTTCTCTCCTCCATATATATTTGTTCCACCACCCACAAGGCTTGTGTTTTTGTTGTTGCTGTTGTTGTTGAAATGTATCTGAAATGCATCCTTTGAAATCAACTTCGGGTATCATCTGTACTGAATTTGATGGCTTGCTTGCATGTTGTCAAACTGCTTTTCTTTCATGAGTTTATTCCAATTTGGGGAACAGCCAGAGAGATCACGTGACAAGTAGGGTGAATTCAGCAATTACCATCCCGTGGGTCTGTTTGTACCACCAAAAACTGTCAGTTACCAAGTGAAGCACTGAAGAACAACACACCACTGTAATGAAGCAGCCATCCATTCAGACCTTCTCTGACAGCTTCTTTCAAATATCTTAGTGCTAATGTGAGTCAATGTTCAAAGTGTCAGTCAAAATGGACTGAAATGAGCTAGTCAAAGATGAATCTTTTTAGATGGATCTCAAATGAGTCAACATCATCGGACGCTGGATGACAGTGAAGACTAGAGTAATGCTTTTATATTTTCCACCTATGACAGGAAATCACTACCACCTCTGTCTTCCAGAAATCACTTCCTTGTTAAAACCTCTCTAATTTTAAAACTAGTATTTTATTTGTTATAGCAACAACTATATAAACTGAATTAATATTTCATTTACTTTTCATGTTACTTCCATTCCAAGCTTAAAACACAATTCATATAGTTACATGGTTCAAAATGCATTATTAAAGAATCACAAACAAATGCTAATCCAAATAAAAGTCAGGACACATTAGAGCATGATAAACTGTCAAGATTCAACACTGATATAAGGGAGTAATTCTGTAAGAAGCCCTACGACCACTCATTTGTTAATAGAAACAGCATTCCCTGGAATTTTTGACATTTTATATTTGATTACACAAATATTAAATCTCTAAATCTGGTAAAAAGATATCACAAACAAGAACAACAGCTAAAAGATATGCTACAAAACATACTTGTAACATATAACCTAAATATAATAAGTGCTTCTACAAACTGGTAGGAAATCTAACCTAAAGAAAAAAAAAGCACCTTTGTGGTAAAGATGCCAACCACATCACCACTGTAGCGCAAAAAAAAAAAATGGAACTAATCTATATAGCCAGCAATAGGGAACGGTTTAATAAATTAATGCATCCATCAGGTACAGAAGGAAATACATAAGCCCCTTAATATTGGTTTAACTTGGAGAGGTGGGTAAAGGAGGAAGGGAAAATGAAATAAAGACAAAAAAAGACTGTAGTAACATAAAAAAATAAGACATAGGTATGTTAAGTGAAAATGGAGAACATACAATTCTATATTACTGAATATATGTAAAAACTGCTTTTCCCTGAACAAAGACTAAAAAGGGACATGAATTTATAAAAATATTGATTTTATTTGGGATTATGAGAAATTTATCTTGGATTTCTATTATTTTTGTATAGTATGCACACCAAAATAACATAAAAATGAAAATAAGGAATTTAAGTAAAACCATCACAATGTGTTACTATACAATGCAGAAAAATGTTTTTCCTAGGATAGATGATATGCAGCACTCAGCACCTAGCAGCCATTCAAAAAACATTAAAAAATATTAGCACAGACTTACCTGCTATACAACTGTCATCAGATATTGGTACATCCAGATAAATAAATCCTTTGTTATATAAACCTACAGAAGCAAAAGAACCTTGCTTTAGATGGAACACTACACATAGCAATTAAAAAAAAAAAATTTGATTTCTGGCTTTCTGTAAAGATTCTTACGACTGAATTCTATCTGAAGAAGGAAAAAGTAAAACATAAGAGAAAAAGAATTATATTAAAGTTTTTAAATCTTGGTTTCCTACATATGCTCAGAACTACAAAATTTTTCTTACCATTGATTTGTATAAATTTCTAGTGTATGTGACTAATTATAGCCACACTGGAAAGTAAAAGACTAAGGTCACATTTCAAACAATAACATGCCTTAGGGAATAATACTCTTTGTACCTACTTGATAAGTAACTGAAGGTTTAAAACAAGTTTTTATGTTGACAAAAGACCATTTCTACTAACCACTTACTATGTACTACATTGTAATCTAGTGATCCAGAGAGTTGAGGGCCTGAATCGATGATCTTATCAATAGCGCATTTCTCAGGCAAAGTGCATATCTAAGAAAAGCAAAATATTTTCAATTAAGTTCTGTCCAAATTCACTAATTCATAAGTCTCCTGAAATTTACTCATGTTGAAACCAAGGATTACATGTCATTAGTTCAATGAACTACATATTTTTTTCATTTATCCCTCTAGAATCCAAACAAAAATCTATATGCACACAGCCATCAATTAAGGTGTCAAACTACGTTACAAACAGAACTTAGAGAACAAAATTATTGTAAGTACCAATATCTGCTGGTCAGCAATGAGTGTTCACTAATAAATAACAGTACTTACTCCTTGTCTTTGAATTGGGTTTGCTGATTCTGAATCTCTCAAATCAGAAATTTACTCAAACTCCACATGAATATTATCAGTGGCAGGATGGGTCACTAGCTTATTATGATACAGTTTGAGAGCTCCGTTAGAAAGTTATTATACTGAAGTGAAATTTATAAGCCTTCCAATCACTGGATTTACTATGCCCTCTGGAGAAAAATTAAATGCAGACTAAAAAAAGTCCATATACTCACTTACGATTCTTCAACCACACATAAATATGACCTGGTCTCTAGGCTCCCTCATCACTCCACCCCTTTCCTCTAAATCAATATCCCTTCCAAGATGTGGTCTGACCACTGGGAATATCAATTCCCTTGATCTTAACGCATTGCCCAGATCAAAGAACCTATCACTTCAGGACAGCAGTTTAGCGCAGTGATTAATAATAGCACAGCTTCCTTGGCAAACTGACTGGGTGAAAATCCTGGACCTTTACTACCATTATGACTTGAGTTGTTACTTAAATGTTCTGTGCTCACTTTCCTCATCTGTAAAATGGGGGTACAAATAATATATCTCTGGGGTTGTTATGAAAATTAAATGAGACAATATAAAAAGCACTTGCAGTAGTACCTGGCACATCTAGCACACAGCACGTGTTAGCCAATATTATTGTTGTTGGTAGCTGTGGCATCATCCTACTTTACATGAAACTTCTGTCTAATTGACACTCTCAGATAATTATACCTGAACCAGTCAAGTCTCCCTCACCTTTAAAGAGTATCTTGGAAATTCACCAATATTCTAGACTACTAAGATCATTTTAAATTTTGAATTTAAGTTTAATTTTCTTTAGGAAAACTAAATAGTGTTACTTTTAAAAATAATTATAGAATTATAATTAAAAATTGTAAAATAAATTAAAAAGAATGCTATGTTTAACTTGTAAAGATCTCTACCTTGATGTCATCTTCTGTGATATATCCAGCCTGCACCACCCACCATGCCTCTATGGCAATTTCCACTGGCTTTACTGGTAGAAGATCACGGGCTGTTTTCCTTCTGAAAAATTTCTGCAATGGTACAAATATCTGAGAATTTGCAATCAACCTAAAATTATCACTTTCTTCTAATATCAATCATGAGAGTGTTTCTAACAGGCTAAATAAATATCTTTTTAAACTCTCATGTTTTAAAATCTTAACTATTCTAGATACATTGAACAAAGAAAGTCATACTTAAATTGTTTCAAAATAAATTATTTCAAAACACTAATCATTAAATCTAGATCTAAATCCAGAAATTCAAATGAAACCCAAGAGGTAAAAAACACACTTAAAAATGTATACATATTTCACCCATTAAGTGAACCCTAGGAGTAAAATGGGCAAGTACAAAGACCAAAAGAGCAAAAATAGTTTTTAAAAATAAATGTTTTATGTCTTAAGTATTTTCTAATTCAATAATCATTTGAGAGATAATACAGAGAATACAGAAGAATTCTTTTCGTATTGTTTCTGTGTTAAGGACATTTCATTTGGTCAAACAAATATAATTTATTATTTCTACCACTTAAAAAACTAATTAAACTGTGTGATAAGGAGGCCAAAACAATGGGGGAAAAAGGGAAATGACCAACTTACTTTTGATGATCTACACTGATTCATAAGATCAATATACTGGTTTCTTCCTATGCCAAGAAGCCTTAGACCTGAAAGAAAGAGTCTTGTCTTTAAAAACTTTTAATACATCTTGAAATGTAAGTAGATTCAGAAGTGATTTTAGGAAAAACTCAATTCTCAGCTTGTGTTCATCTTTTGACAATTGATCAACATGGTCTGTCCATAAAAAATTAAAAGGAATTCTTCAAACAAAATATAAAAGAAAGCTAAACTCTGGGAGAGATGAATTCAAGCTGACACTTTTGATAAATCAGAATATTTTTAAAAAGCAGAAGTCCTCTCAATTTTAGGAAATCAAAATGTACTTCTCAGCGAAAGCCTCTTATACAACAGAACTATGGTCATATTTCGAAATACACAATTAAAATAAGAATAAAACATCAGCAAATTGTGTTAGTAAAAACCACGTATCACACTGCAAAAATATTGTGCACAAATTTACTTCCCTCATTTGGTATATTCACAGCCCAAGTGTCAAAAAGAACTTCATTCTCTAGAAATATATAGATTAGTCATCCTGTTTATCTGATTCTGATTCTACTAAAATATTCCTCTTTTAGATATTCAGGCTGAATCTTACACTTGACTTGTATCATCTGATAAAAATTCCTAATAAAAATGTTGCTTGCTATTCCCATTTTTCAGGAATTTCGGATTAAAAACACGTATTACAATACTGACAGACGACAGTATTCATGCACAAAGATAAAATCTAAACACTACCTCCAACAGCAAAACTAAATACTTACAGTCAGCAGCAGTAAAATTGGGCAATGAATCGTAACTTTTCTCACTGTTCATAATGTCCTTTTAAAAAGAAAAAATTTAAAATTTGAAATGCAAAATATCCTTAGATTAAAAACATGTGCATAAATATATATTACAGTAGTCGAACAGAACAACAATAATTATTACAGGAAGCAGTGAGATCATAGGTTGGCAACCTAAAGCATGCATGCCACATTGTGGCACTTACCACATGGTTCCAACCTAGTAATTAAAGGGCAGACTTTCTGGTCTGGGTTTCTTACAACACTTTGTGAATCCCAGACAGCTGCCCTGTAACATCTGCCCTGTGGAAGCTGATGAGGAATGTCTCTACTAGAGCTCAGAGTTCTAGCCTCTCCACACTTCATATCACACTTTATCATAGACTTCTACCTTGAGAGAAGGCTAAATAATGAGCCACAGCTCCAACAACATGCATCCAAAACACGCATTACCACAAAGATTTTAATCACTTAGTAGTCTTTGCTCCTATGAATCCCAATTAGCAGCAGAGTCAAACTCTGTAGTCAGCTTTTTCCACCCAATCTGTTTCTCCAATAATAAACCAACTGTTTTACTGGAGGGATAAGACCCATTTTCAACCCCGGAGCCATACCCAACGATGTAAGAACAGAAACCAAAGGGCAGCAAGCACATAGATGGACCTAAAAAGAAAGCTGATAAATGGGACAAAAATTCCATCTATTTATCCCCCAAAGGCCCAAACCTAGTGGACCACATGAGAAAAACAATCCAAGAGATGGCAGTAACTATTCTACTTACTGATAGCTGCCATCTTCATTGTGCTACCCAGACTATCAGGCCTTAAGCTGTCTCTAGCATTTCCTCCAAAAGAGGGACTTGGGAAACACAGGGCTGTAAAAGTGTCCATGGAGAAGGGGCTTAAGGAGATAAGCAAAGGGAGCTCATGGTAAAGGACACTACATCATAAAGGGAACTAACCTCGCTGTTACCGTAGTTCCCAACTCCTTTAGTTCTAGGCTTCTCTCTGCTCTTCACGTAGCTAGTAAGCCCAAAATAGGAACACTCAAACATAATTAAGGAGCAAATGAATACTATATAAATATTGCCAATCTTTTCATAAAGCTTCCTTAAAAATAGTATATAACTAGAATTAAAGTTATTCAACACAAGCCTAAAAACTTTTGGAAAAAGGTTAACAACTAATAATTAATAATTACAGAAAGAGATTAACAACCAGGACTACTAATACATTTCTTTTTCCTGACACCTGTATTATATAATGTCAGGTCTATGTCATCATTTATTCTTTATACAGTTAGCGAATAGTTAAGTTTCTCTGAGCTTGATGTTCAATTCCATCACCTACTTTTTAACATTAATCATGTATTAAAAGCAATAAATTTTATATGGAGTCTGCTAACATAAATGACTGATCAATGCTACAATAGCACAAAGGATCAATACCATCTTCAAGAACATGGAATAGAAAGATACCTTTCCAATATGAAAACATCAATAATGACAACTGCTTGTACAAGTGTGGCTCAAACAGTTAACTTGTAACCAAAAGTCCTTTTTATTCTATAAGCTCAGAATCATCTGCTAAGAGTATCTGACATGTAGTCCCATCCCATTCCCTATGGTTCACCCACACTATAAACGCACCTCCATAATTGCAGTATAGTACGAAAATGGTGTTATCCTCAGGCCCTTCACCATGATATCTGATAAATGGTAAGGGTACAGCATGAGGTGATCTCGACTGTACTTTAGTAGTTCCTCATAGTATTTGCGTTCATCTTTCTTGACATGTTTAACTGTGGCAAAGAGGGAAATCATTCAGTTTTGTTTTTTTTTTTTTTAGTTTTCTTATGGCTACATGTTAACTATAAGTAGAAATACTTTACAAACCAATAGTAATTCGAAAGAAAATTCAGAAGACAACAAATAAAATATTCTAAGTTGAAACAAAGAAACAATTATACCACAAGAAACAGACTTCAGAGTATATAAGTAAAATGTATAATAGCACAGATAAGTAGAAAATAATTCTTATCAAACGAGAAAACAAGCATGACCCCCACCCAAAAGGTATAAAACATAGGCTAGAATTCATCAAATTCCTTACAATATTGCTTTACAAGATAGCCAAACTAAATGCTAGTTTTCAGGGAAGTCTATTTTTAAAAATTATTTGCTGGGTTTTTTGTTTTGTTTTGTTTTTTAAATTAAAAAGCCCTCTGACTTTCATGAAGAATGTTTATGCAGAAAAGCTATCTCTGAAATATTGTGCTTCAAATAAGAGTAATACAGAGGGAAAGTCTTGCAGGGAAATAGAACAGACTAATCAAAGTAATCTGACAAATAAAAAGCAAATATTTTTAAAAAAGGAAAAAAAAAATAATGAAACCAACTATGTTTAAAATTTGTTCCAATTATTACAGAAAGAATTTTTCATTAAAGTTATATTATTTGGAATTATATAATTATTTGGAATTATAATAATAATTCCAATATAATAATAATATATATTATTTGGAATTATTTGTGTAGATAAAACAAAACTCAAAGCCAAAAATTATTAAGAACAAATGTACTTTTTCTTCTCTGGCATATTTTCTCACTTTAGGCAAAAAGAGAACATTTGAATTAAGATTAATATTTTACAGGTAAAATAAATCTATAAACAGAACTCTAAAAAATAATTGTTATCAGAATTAGAAAGAAAAATCTACTTGCTAATACAAATTGTTGTTAGGTGGAGTGGGTTAGTATAGTTTCTTAAAGTTTGTACATGGAATAATTTCAGTGCTATGAAATATGTATTGAAAAGATAGGATTGATTTATGAAAATGATGAAGTATCAATAGTCATTTCCACCCCAATGTAAAAATGTCTCTACTTACCTAAGTTATTTCTATATCGTAACTGATTGCGAATACTGTACAAGACAACCTGCTTTTCATATTCTCTCTGTGAATTTCCAAGACTCTAAAAGAAATTTCAAATAGATTTTAAATAGCTTCCAAACTGAACAATAGTTACTTTTTTTCCCCTAAGATTTTAAAATCATGCCCTCTAATTTTATCCTGGCATCTCTAATTTCCAGAACTAAAGAATATTTTTTTAAATTTTATTATATTAACTTTCCTGCTATAGTATTAAAGCAAAAACTCAATGTGTTTCTTTTTGGTCTGCCTTTCTAAAAAGACTTACTAAAATTATCCTAAGTATTTAAGAACAAATAGAGCAGTATGAGAGCATAACTTCACTTAACAAAAACAAAGTTCTACTTTAAAAGATTTCCTTCCTGACTGCCCCCAATTTGCGTGTGTTAAATGGATAGATGATTTCCTGCACCTACATGTATTTAAATTTAAGAATGACAACTAAGGACAGATTTCTGTCTGATAATTATTTGAGCTGAAGGCTATGTTTATTAAAGATTAAGAATTCTGGGCCGGGAGCAGTGGCTCACGCCTGTAATCCTAGCTCTCTGGGAGGCCGAGGCGGGCGGATTGTTTGAGCTCAGGAGTTCAAGACCAGCCTGAGCAAGAGCGAGACCCCGTCTCTACTAAAATTAGAAAGAAATTAATTGGACAACTAAAAATCTATATAGAAAAAATTAGCCGGGCATGGTGGCGCATGCCTGTAGTCCCAGCTACCGGGAGGCTGAGGCAGGAGGATCACTTGAGCCCAGGAGTCTGAGGTTGCTGTGAGCTAGGCTGACGCCACGGCACTCACTCTAGCCCGGGCAAAAGAGTGAGACTCTGTCTCAAAAAAAAAAGAATTCTGGAGCATGTACTGTTGCTCCATGATTTGGTATTAAACATGTTTGGGGACAGGATTTGTCTTAGGAGTTTTGCAGAGCTTTGCCCTGAAGGAATATGTGAACGTGTTGGTTTGCATTTCGAATGCTGTTACACTCAGAAGGGCGTCTCTGAAAGGCAGTAGCGGCTGTATCCCACAAGGCGCCACGTTTCTCAGACCTAAAGAATTGGATTTTCTTTGTAAAGCACAAGTGAATCTGTTAAAAACTATATAGGCTGAGAGCTGACAATGGAGTGCCCTCCGAAACAAACAACTTCCCGGAAACGACACCTTCTCGAATGGCTAAAAGCAAAGCTTTTGTTTGAACCACTCTAGACTACCTGTCTCCATTCACAATAACCTAATAAACATGGAGCCTACATATCTCTGTTAACCCCTCTGTTTAAATGATAAAATTTACCTTCGAATTTAGAAATTAACCTTTGAAAGACTCTGTGACCGTTTGCTCACGTAAATAGAATTAGTTAAAGAATCTGTAGAAGCCTTCTGTAAAAGCCTTTTAAAAATCTGTTAACCTGAGAGGAACTACCTGCTGTTATGTAAATCTGTTACCCCTGGCAATTATTCACTATTTCCTATAAGTTACCATGTAAGACCTCATTCGGGGCTTTTTTGAGACCAACGGAGAGGTCTAAGCCCCCTGAGCTCCCGCTTTGCCTATAATCTTTATAAACTTATAAAACTATATCTTTGTCTCAGTGTATTCTTTTATTTCTTCCATTTTCCATTTCTCTCTATTATTTTCTTATCCCTTGCAACTCTACCAAAGGGACCCAGTTTTTTGCGGGGAACACTGGCCATGTTCCCCGCAATGTACATTTTAAATGTATATAAGATTGCATCTTAAAAAGTCATCTCCTTATAGCTTCATTAGAAAACATTTGGACAATTTTAGAATTCTGATATATTTTTTAATGAGCAAAAAACTTTCTAGCTGTGCACTTAGTGTTTTAAGTTCAAAGTTGGGAGTTGCTCATGAAAGCAAAGAGTAAATTTGCCTAATTATAGTCAGCATTATATTCAATGTGAAACCATAAATTTAATTTAATATAAATTATTGTCCCCCTCCTTGATTAGACTACTAGATACGGTCTTTCTGACACATTTTAAAGTGAAATTAGACATTTTAGGAGAGTCATGACAGAAAGATCAGAGGATTCAGTTCATCCTATTTCTTACTCATAGGTTTTTGAAAGCCAAAGTAAACGTCCATATCTCACTTAAGGCAATCTTCACAAGAGGATGAAACTCACATCTAAATAAACTGGCCCAATAACTGGACACACTGATGGGTAATATCCTAAGAAAAATGGGACATGATACAAGAAAATTAAGCACAGTTGACCCTTTAATAACATAGGTTTGAACTGCGCAGGTCCACTTATACACAGATTTTCTTTCACCTCTGCCACCCCTAAGACAACAAGTTCAACCACTCCTCTTTCTCAGCCTACTCAATGTGTAGATGACAAGAATGGAGAGCTTTATGATGATGCACTTCCACTTCATGAATAGTGAATATACTTCTTCCTTATCATTTTCTTAATAGCATTTTCCTTTCTCTAGCTTAATTTAAGCATATAGTATATAACATATATAACATACAAATCAACTGTCTGTGTTCGTTTCCAGTCAATAGTAGGCTATTAGTTATGTTTTGGGGAACTCAAAAGCTACATGCAGATTTTCAACTACGTGGGACTTGGTGCCCCTAACTCCCATGTTGTTCAAGAGTCGACTGTATCTTTCTTCCTGCATCTAGATTAGTCTATCACGGGTTAAACCAGAACTCTTCAATACTGCCAAAATGTATGTGCTTATATTATTTTCATGTGTTTTAACATTGCAAGTGGTTAAGAGTAAAGTTCATTGTAGAGAAACTACCCTACCACCCTCTTTGTAGCAAAGCCAGGGTCAGCATTGAAGATATTAATATTTAGGGGATTCAAAACAGCAGGCTTTCTGTAAAACTTTTAAAGGTTTTCTCTAGCTCCACTGCCAAATAAAAGTCTCTTTCTCAGGGAACACAAAATACACGCACATACAAACAAACACACAATTTTGCTAAAATCTGAGCAATTTCCAAACTTGAGGTTTTGCTCTTCTGTTTCAAAGGAAGTCTTTTAATTTACCCTAACTTACAATCATTTTCTCCCTTTCAAACTCCATTACTGGTAACTTCAGAATAAAAATAAGGGTCACATAAAATATAAAGATCCATTATTTGTAAGCTTTATTGAAAAATACACCACCTATCAAGCATGTAAGCTATGCACTAGGCATTAAGCAATGACTGGTCCTGATCAATCAATACACGTGTGTGCACATATCTAAAAACCACATTAAAAGCTGGCTTTATTCCTCACTAGCCAAGTATGTAAAATAAAACAGCTTTGTTCAGAGATTCTTGGGCTCTCCTCCCACTCCTACCTCAAATCTCCCACCACTCACATTTTAAAACACTGTTGCCACTACAGAAGGTGACTGTAATTTTAAAAAGGTTATTTTATTCTGAGACAATACTGCAGAAATACTTACCAGGTCTGACAAATGAAGTTGGGCTGCATATAAAAGGAACTATAACAGAGGAAGGGGTGGCATGGAAGAAGGTACTAGCTATAAAGTACCCACTGCGCTGAAGATTATGCTAAAAGCACAAAGATTTTCTAAAGCCTTTGCTCCTACAAACCCCAATCCCAACATGTACATCCCAAAATGTATCCCTTTCCCCCCTACCCAAAAAAATGACTCTTCTTGGATTATATAGAATCTCATCACAAGATTTCTCTTAAAATAAAAGGGCTATTAATTGTTTTAAACAATGAATACAAGATACTGGTAAACTGTAGAAAATAATGAAATAATGGCCCTATCTACAACTTTTTAATGTATTTTTAAAAGTCTAGCACATGACCCATATCACATAAAAAATATTTCATCTATCCATATAAAATGAAATTGGCTTAAAATATATTATTTTAAAAATCTGCATCACCTGCCCCCAGCTTTCAGACCTGGACAATATGAGACAAATTAAACCCATCAAAACTTACTGGAAACTATATCAAAGTACTTAAAGTCTATAATGCCAAAAGACAAATTCTTTCCATACAAGGAATGTTTCCCACTTTCCTATTTTTAGTTGCCTAATTTTTTTTTTCTATTTTTAGTAGTGACAGGGTCTTGCTCTTGCTCAGGCTGGTCTCAAACTCCTGACCTCAAGCGATCCTCCCGCCTCGGCCTCCCAGAGTGCTAGGATTACAGGCGTGATCCACCCTGTCTGGCCTATTTCCCACTTTTGACTGAGCTTTGGCTGCCCAGGAAAAATCTCAGACTGATGCCACCGTTCATTCACTCCACAAATATTTACTAAAAGCTGACTACATGATAGGTGCTCAGGGTACAAAAGCAAAACAAGTTATATAACCACAAAATGCACCATAGTGGGATCAGCACTATAACAGGTGAGAAATCCAGTGCTATGGCAACATACCCAAGGGGCAACCACTGCCGATTTAGAAGGTCAGGGAAACCTCCCAGGAGTGAATATGAGACTGATTCAAAAAGCAGCTATAAGCAACACAAAAGAGACAGGTAGAGATAGGATTGTGTGTGCATTTTAGAAAACTCACCCCAGAGTAATGTGAAAAATGGATGGGAAGGCCCTATTCTAAAAGCAAGAGACCAGACAGAAAGCTGATGTAGTAATCTAAGACAAAGCTTGACCTAGGGAAACAGTGGTAAGACTAGAGAAAGTTTATGAAAGTAAACTTGTACAGATGGATTCTGCAACATCTACTAATGGCCAAACTTATCCTAAGCTAAAACAGCCATTGTTTTGAATGAGCTTTAAAAAAAAAAAATGATTATTTTTAAATAGTCATGACTAAATTTTGGAAACCCTTTTGCCAATACTAATTAAAATCAAATATTCATGTTGGATATAATCTAATCACTCATCTTTCTTCCATTCTGTTACATTTATTTTGATAACAGGAAGAGTAAAAATAGAATCGAAACATTGTTGGTTCTTCCAGTCCTCTTCAGACTTGCCACAAAACCCTAATGTATGAGAGTGTCTGTCAAAGTCCTTATTCAAGCTTAACAACAGAAACTTATTCCTTTAAGTTTAGAGCTTTGTTCTCCCAGTTCAAGATAAATGCCACAAGGGCAGCCACTGTCACCCAAGAATTCTAAGTTCTTTATATTTCCACTCCCTTGGTTTTTGGTAACTGAAAATGAAAGTATTTTTGTTGTCACACGATGTATCACCAGAACATTAAATTATTCACTTTCTAGAGCTGAGTCCCCAAAGGGTTTGGGGGTGGGGTTAAGTAAACTACACTACAATCATCCTTATACCATCACCACTACCCTCCCAAACTTTCCAAATACACCATTTACCAGCACCAACAGAAAACAGAACTGCACTCTCAACCAAGTATAATGGAAGGCACTGAAGGTCAATCTATGACCACAGAAACAGTGTCTTATACGTACCCATATCACTATCTTTGTAAGATTTAATACCACCTGTTATGTTTTGTATTTTTTCATTTATTTGTTTACTACCTATCTTTCCATAATGTAAATGTAAGCTCCATGAAGGCAGGGTCTTTGTCTTGTAGACTGCTGCAAATTACCTGCACTCAGAACAATACATAGCACCTAACAGGTACTCAATAAATATCCACTAAATACTGAGTGAAACTGACACTCTAAAATTTGAGCATTAACTCTCAAAAATCTCATGTCACTCTCTTGTTGAAGCCTAATAATAAACCCATCTTGTCTACAGGATAAAGTCCAGCGAAACAAAGCACACATGCCTCTTAAAAATCTGACCCTGACTACTTTTCCAGCCTCATCTGCTACCACCCACTCACAAAACACCATCTCCAAATACATCAGTATATATACACCTCCAAACTCTGTTGATATTCAGTCACTCGCTACTCTCAAGACATGTTCGATCACTCATCTAAACTTTTTTAAATGACTTTCTTTTCTCTGGAAAAATCTTTATTCTCTCTTATCTAACTCTCACTCGTCCTCCAAGGCCCAATTTAAATGCCTCCTCTACACATCCTCCCAACTTTCCCAGGACAATTCCTTCCTCCCTGTGCTCCTACATATACTATAATGAAGGTACCTAGGAGCTGCTATCACCCTGTATCGTATTCATTTGTTTCTCGTTCCTTTCCCAACCTCCTGAAGTTCTGGAGGTTAAAAACTGTGTTTTTAAATCTCTACCGCAGACGCCTGCTGAATGGGGACTGCGGGCAAAGGAGCCAGGCGAGTCCTGTGGACACCATTCCGTCCCATTTAGCAATGGCCCCATCCTGGTCTTGTGGCCCCACAGCCATCCCCTCTTCACCCCTGGGCTGCAGGTCGGTTTTCCCGAAACCCAGGCAGGGGAAAGGGCAGGAGTCAGCCTAGAGCAGCCGGCCCCGGACCCGCGGACGACGCGAGCAGGTGACTACGGGGCGGGGCCGAACCAGTTGGGGTCCCTCTCCCAGGTTCTGGCCGTACCTGTCTCACGTTGGCAGGCAGCTTGCTCCAGGGGTAATTGTGTCGGATGTGGAACTCCACGTCTATGTTCATGATGCCGGGGCCAGGGCCGGCGGCTGTGGCCGCGACCGTGGCTGAAACGACGCCTCCCGCCCGCCCACCGTCGGCCTGTCACAGGAGCCCGCAGGAGGCCCTGCGCCTCACACTGCGGAAGGCCCGGGCTGCCCCATGGCCAGGTGTCCCGACAGCTCAGCGCGGCCCGGGCCACGGGCAACAGGACCAGCGGAGATCGTGCCTGGAGCGTCCGAGCACCTCCAAGTTTCTTCCTAGTTTCGGCCCGCCGGAAATGGCTCTGGGCTCCCGTCACTTCCGCCTGCTGGCGCGCGGCCGAGGGGCGGGGCATCGACCGGCCCTATGCCCCGCCCTCTACGTGCTGGGGGCGGGGCGGCGAGGTGCGGCCTGGGGAGTTCCCGCAAGAGCCCCAACCCGCGCCCTTGGTCTTCCGCTTTCAGTCTCTGGAAGAATTCAGATAATCGCTTGGGCTGCACTGCCGTTGTTGGATGACCTAGTTTCCCCAAAATTCCAACCCGGGTGGCCCAAGAGCAGGCGGGTACGGGCGCTGTGCTGGGTGCCTGAGAAGAGCGACCTGGGCAGGGGGCCCTAGCTGGCTTCAGTGAGCGGAAGAGCAGTGAGCCCACCCAGGTCCTCCACGGGCCCTCCGGAACCGGGGCCAGGCTCGTGAGGAAACAAAGTCTGTAAGTCAGAGCCTTCCCCCAGTTGAGTGTGAGGCGCGCACGGCCGTGGAGCAAAGGTCTGATAAACCTTCATCCCTGCCAGGCTGCATCTTGTGGAAGGGAGTCGTTGGGCTCGGCTGCGAAGATACAAATTCTGAAAATACAGGGACTGAGAAAGCTGAAATTTTAAACAGCTGGTGCTGAAGGGTCGGAGCGGCCCAAAGGCAATCTAGGAGGCAGAGAAGGCCGCTCACCAACCTGTAGCATGCAGCCTCTGGGTTTGTGCTTGCTTCTGCTCCACGCGGATGCCTCCAGAGTCACTTTTTAAAGCAGAGATCCAGCATATCTTAATTTCAGCCCTAGCGAGATCTTTAGGAACGATTTCTTCCAGAATTTGTTACATTGCCTTAGCAAACCCATGACCATTATTACTGGCAGCTACTAGGGAAAAGTTCAGTATTTTCGAAACTATTTTTAAGTTTTAAATAATGTTTTATTATATACCGAGAGATATATACTTAGAACTTTTTATAAGCTGCCTAGCCCACACCTCAGCAGTTGGCAGTCTGATGCATAGCATAAACACCATTATGTCTGATAAATTGAAACAAATGTGGGTACACACCGCCCTTGCACAGGTGTTTTGGTTTTATGTTATCCAACTATAATAGCCCATAACTAAGTGCTTTCAATCCTGTGTTAACAGACCTTCATCAGTATGGCGAAAGTTAACTGAACTAACAAAGAGACATTTATTCAACAAATATTGATTACCTGCCCCCATGTATTAAGCCCTTGACTTGCAATAGATTTTTATTACTCACAACACTGTGAAAAGGTACCACTGTTACTATTCCAATTTAATAGAGGAGGAAACAGTCTTGGAAGGGCTACATGACTTGCTCACATCACACACATAGTAGTGACAGACCCATAAATCTCCTCTAAAATAATATTTACAATTCTAAGTGTGGGAGAATTCATATCCTTCCGAAATCTAACTTAGATTTAAGGCAATATAAGTAACAATGAAAATTAAAGTCAACTTAGTTTAAAAATCCTCATAAACCATTATTTTACCTAGTTATAGCAGTTAAACAGGTGAATGCCTGATAAACTCACCTTTTTTGTTTATCAATAAATATCGATAATTTGATATGAACACATCAAAAACTATGAAAGAAGACAGGAGACAATGGAGGTGAACCTATGCCTACTTAATGAATAAGGCACAAATCTTTGAAAATTTGACCCTGGTGAATAGAAATGATTCTAACTCAGCCAGTATCTGAGTAAAGTGGACATGTGAAGGAAGAAAGGGTAATGGGTCAAAGCAATGTGGACGGGAAGGGTCCAAATAACAAACCCTTCAGAGTAGGAACTGGTGACAGAATTTGGCTTATGAAATATACAGTGTTCATTAAGGTACTGATCTGCTTCAAGGTGACCAGTCTTTGAGAGGTTGGAAGCCAAGCAGTTCAGAGACCCTAAATTAAACCACAGGATTCAATACCGTCCTCTGCTGGGAGGTTCAGGAACAGGACTATTTCCCCAAGCACCAGAAAGCTGGAAACAGCAGCTCCTTGGGCACCATGTGTAGCAGTCATTATAGTACCTCGACTTCTTGGCAAACAATAATGTCTATCCTTTTAGGTCGCCGACTCAGACTCCTGCTAATTTCTGCTTCACTAGACCTTTGCTTTTCAAATTCCAGTGAGGTCAGAAACTGCAGGTAAAATTAAGGAGAATTATACAACTGACTTAGGCAATCTGCCCTTCAGGAAGACTACAGAACTATTTCATTCCTAAAATTCCAATAGAAATAATGAGCAGAAGCAACCTGAAAGTAGGGAGCTGTCTGGTGACCCCATTCATAGACCCAGGATGACACATCCTGTGGTAGGAAGAATAATGGCCCCCAAAGATGTCCATGTCATAATGCCTATAACCTGTGAATATGTTACCGTACATGGCAAAAGGGATTTGCAGATGTGATTAAGTTAAGGGTCTTGAGATGGGGAGATTATCCTGGATTACCCAAGTGGGATCAAAGTAATCACAAGGTCCTTACACGAGGGAGGCAGAAGGCCAGGAGCAGTAGGTAGCTCATGCCTGTAATCCTAGCGCTTTGGGAGGCCAAGTCAGGAGGATCACTCAAGGCCAGGAATTCAAGACCAGCCTGGGAAACATAGTAAGACCCTGTCTCTAAGAAAAAAAAAAAGAATTAGCCAGGTGTGGTGATGCACACTTGTAGTCCCAGCTACTCAGCAGGCTGAGGCAAGAGGATCACTTGAGCCCAGGAGTTTGAGGCTGCAGTGAGCTATGATGGCACCACTGCACTCCAGCCTGGGTGACAGAGCAAGACTCTATCTCAAAAATTAAAAGAGGGAGGCAGGAGAGCCAGAGTTAGATAAGGGGATGTGATGACAGAAGGAGAGGTCAGAGTGATGCAAGGCCATAAGCCAAGGAATGTGGGCAGCTTCTAGGGGCCAGAAGAGGAAATTGATTCTCCTCCCCTACAGCCTCCAAAAGGAGCACAGCTCTGCTGCGACATTTTGGACTTCCAATCTTCTGAAATGTAAAAGAATAAATTTGTGTTGTTTTAAGTCACTAGGTTTGTGGTAATTTGTTACGGCAGCAATAGGAAATTCATATGTTCCCCCAACAATAAGATACTCCAACACCCAAATTGTTGATTAATTTCAGATTTCATAATTAAGGTCATAAAATTAAGGTCATCAAATTTCATAATTAAGGTCATAATTCAAATGTAAATACCTTTAGATGGAACAATCCCTTTTTCACATTATTATTTTTTAGTATACATGAGCTATCATATCCTTTTTTGAGAACAAGTGTGAAAGAGAAAGAGCTCAAGGATAAAATGAGGCAGGGAAAGCACCTGTAGGGGAGGAAATGGTATCTAGAAGAAAGAGAGGAGAGGCAGTTGCTGTAAACATTTTCTGTTTCAGTTTTTCCTAGGTCTGACCTTAGTCATGGGTTTCCAAACCATGCGTGCTTTGCTTTGTCACATGAAGCAATTCATCTCCCACACCTTAGCCTCACTTGTTCCCAACTCACAGCTTTTTGTGTGTTTGTTTTTTGGAGACAGGGTCTCACTCTGTAACCCAGGCTGGAGTACAGTGACCCGATCACAGCTCATTGTAGCCTCGAACTCCTAGGCTCAAGTGATCCTCCCGCCTCAGCCTCCTGAGTAGCTGGGACCACAGGTGAGCATCACCATATCTGGCTAAATTTTTTTATTTTTCGTAGAGATGAGGTTTCACTATGTTGCCCAGGCTGGTCTCAAACTCCTGGCCTCAAGCGATCCTCCCACCTCAGCCTCCCAAAGTGCTGAGATTACAGGCATGAGCCAACGGGCCCAGCCCACCTCACAGCTTTTGCCCTTGCTTACTGCTCGACCTTGAATGCCTTTCCTCAGATCTTTGTACAGCAGGTTCCCTTCAGTTCACCCATTGTCACATAGAGTGGCCTTTTCCAGCTACCCTGTCCAACCTAGCCACTTCTGCCCCTCCTCTCTCTAACACATTACCTTGGTTTATGTCCTTCATTGCAAGGAATCACTATCTGACTTTATGCTCTTTGGTTCCTTGTTTGTTGTCTGTCTATCCACAGAAGGAAGGACTTTGTCTCATTCATCGGTCTGTCTCCAGGACCCAGAATCAGCCATGGTACATAATAAAGCACCCAATAAGTACTAATGATCGTATTGAATGAATGAACTAGTTATGTGATATCTGCAGAAGCTCTCAAGTGTCACTTCTCAGTTAAGCCCTTTCTGACCACCTTATTCAAAATCGTAGCACGTCTCCAACCCTCTGCATCCTCCTCCCCTGCATTATTTTTCTCCACAAAATAGAGATGGCACTTATTACCATCTGTTATATTCAATAAGTGACTTAGTCTTCAAAATCATCTCCCCTGTTAGACTGGAAGCTCCCAAATAGCAGAGGCTTAATGTCTGTTTTATTCTGTGCTGTGTCCTCAGGCTTAGATCAGCACATAGGAGGCACCCAACAAATATTGAATTAATGAATAAATGTCGTCTAGGAGCATAATTTTCACAAAAATCCAGTCTTGGGGATTCTCTTGAAAATTTAGAGAGTCCCACGGCATTGTCCCCCACTTCCCACACCATTCGGCTCTAAGGAGAGGAGGCCTCACCCAGGCTTTCCCACAGGCCATGTGCCCCACTTGTCCCTACTGCCTCCCCTTTAGGAAAGCTTTCAGTTGTGAAAATCATCACACTCGTGCTTTGTTTACCTTGCAGTGGAAAAATAATTGTGTACCCTTGTCTCTGTAGAAAGTGAGGAAAACATAAGCTAGACTGAAAGCTCAGCCATCCATCCTCTCTTGTCTCACATACTTCAGAAAGACTGAGACATTTGCAGCTCCCTAATCATGCCCTCCTGTTTAATCCCTTTGGACCTTTGCATACAGAATCCCCATTTCTAGAATGTTTGTCCTTACTTCTCTACCCAGAAAACTTTTTACCTGGACACTGAATGGAATTCTGAAGAATCAGGACATGAGGATGCGGAGGTGGGAAGGGACAAGATAATGTGGCAGGGCCATTTTTCTTTATGTTAGGGAGTGTCT